CACAAGAAAAATTCACCTTTCTAAAGCAAAGGCGGGTCTGCAGTCTTCAATATGGATTGAAGCTCAGTATCAAGAAAACAGATTTTCACCACTGGGCCAATTGGCAGCATCAGTATGGATGGTGAAGAGATTGAGATAGTTAACAGTTTTCGTTTACTTGGTTCCAGTCAACACTCTTGGTAACAGTAGCCAGGAAATCAGGAGACGAATTGCATTGGGAAAGTCAGGTGTGAGGAACCTCTCAAGAGTACTGAAGAGCAACGACGTCAGGCTGGAGACTAAGGTGCGCCTGATCCAGGCTATCGTCTTTGCAATTACGTGCTATGCATCAGAGAGTTAGTGAATAAGGATGACAGAAAGAGAATTGATGCCTTTAAGCTGTGGTGCTGGAGAAGAGTGTTGAATATACCATGGACTGCTAGAAGAACAAACAGGTTTGTCCTGGAGAGGGTGAAGCCAGAATGTTTCTTGGAGTCAAGGATTCTGAAGCTTCGTCTGACATACTTTGGGCATGTTGCAAGGAGGGACTGGTCCTTGGAGAGGGACATCATGTTTGGGAGAATGGAGGGATGGCGCAGGAGAGGAAGACCCTCGATGAGATGGATCGATTCTGTGAGTGGACTGGTGGGAATGAGTGTGTTTGAGACAGCGAGGTTGGTACAGGATAGAATGGCATTTAGGGCTCTTGCACATAGGGTGGCTAGGAGTCGCAAACGACTCGATGGCACATAACTACAACAAAGCAAAGGCTAAACACATGAAACTTCAACAGAAGACTCTGTCCCAAATGAATTTTTTAAAACCATAGGCCTGTGCATCAGGCTCTCATTAACTCTAAGAAAAGGCTTCCGGCCTACACTCATTACCAACCAGACAGTCCACAGCCAACCTTCATCCAACACAACTCACCTTTTTTTTTCTTAAAAAAAAAAAATTTATTAATTTTAATGAACATTTAGAGATTGTGGATTTCCATTCATTCATTGTTGCATTTTTCTCCCTGCCCAGCCCTCTCCCCCAGTTTGCTCTTCTCTTTGAAAAGTAAAAGAAATATTCCTTCATTGATATACAATCCTCTAAAACAACCCCCACCTCCCCCCCCCAACCCCCCGACCCCAAGCACACTCTGTTAGGTTAGTGGACTTAAAGAAGAAATCAGAGAGAACAGGAGAAAGCTTAATGCAGCTTTGTTAAAGGGGGGAAAGGGGAGCTCCCGGGTGAGTTCCTCATCCTGGAGAGGCAGGATGGGAAGTCACCCTGTGAACTTACTGGAGAGGATTTTTATAAACAGAGTCTTTAGGGAGGGACATTCCACTCTGATTTAGGAGCCACCTGCTAACTCAGCCAGACAAGCAAGACCATTTGCCCTTCTTATCAGAAGCAGGCAAGGCCATCAGCATTTGAGTTCTGAATTCTTCATTCTTCTCTTTGGCCCCCTTTGTCCAGACTAACACACTCCATTATGCAACCTTTATTCTGGACTTATGTCATAACCCTAATACCCAATCATGTATCATTTTTAAACTCACCTTTCTAAAGCCAGAATTATACACATGCGCCTTCAACTCAAGACTCAGACCCAAAGGAATTTAAAAAACAAACAAACAAAACCACAAAAAACCACAACACCCAGGCCGGCACCTAGGTTCTCATTGGCTCTAACAAAAGGCTTACCACCTACACTGATTACCTACCAAACAGCCCACAGCTGACCTTCATCCAACACAAGAACTCACCTTTCTAAGGCCAGGGCTCCACACAAACAAAATTTATACAGAATTAAAGTATTAGTTCAAGATTAATTCATACATAAATAAAATATTTGTTATAATCCCTTCAAAGTAACCACACTCCCTCCTTCGTCCTTTCCTAACCTTTCCCAACTTTGTTTTGGAAAATACTGTCCTGTTGGTCTGGTAGAGTTGATTGTTCTTAGGAGTTCATGTGGGAGGGTTACCACTGCTGGTCACTTTATAGACATACTGTTTGCCTGAAAGGTGACAGATCACCCAAAGTTGACCAACCTCTCTTCTTTTTTTAAAAATTGAGATTTTAAATCATTCATTGTTGGACATTTTCCTCTCTGCCCAACTCCCCCCAGTTCGCTTTTCTCTTTCAAAAAGAAAAAAAAGCCACCTTTCATTGTTCTCCAATCCCCCTCCCCCAGTCCACTTTATTATGCAGCTCTTATTCTGGACTCTCGTCATGAAAATAATACCTAATCATATATTCATTTTAAACAGTTCTCTCCCTCATCTGTTTCAATGCAGTGTACATTATTTATCCCCTCTTTTCTTAGTTTCGCCCCAACCCCGATGTCAGTCCTGTTTTACAACAGTGGCACTATGTAGTAATTGTCCTTTTGTGACTAAGATATTCCACTCAGCATAATGTCCCTGATGGTCACCCATTTTGTAGAATATTTCATAAAATCCTTGTTTTTCAATGCAGCATAGTATTCCACTGTGTGAATATACCACAGTTTCTCTATCCATTCGTTTGCTGATGGGCACTTAGGTTGTTTCCAACTCTTTGCTATTGTGAACAAAGCCGCAATAAACATGGGTGTGCATAAATCTGTTTGGATGGCAGTTCTGGTTTCTTTAGGGTATATTCCAAGTAGTGGAATTGATGTGTCAAATGTTATTTCTATCTGCAACTTTTTGAGGAAACGCCATACTGCCTTCCATAGTGGTTACACCATTTTACACTCCCACCAACAGTAAATTATTCAAAATTCCTAGCTCTAAGAGAGATGCAAATCAAAACAACTATGAGATATCATCTCACCCCAGTAACAGTAGCAAATTTAACAGAACAAACAACAAATATTAGCGAGGTTGTGGAGAAACTGGACCAACCTCTTTTCAACCAGGTAAGTTTACTTTCACATACCACCTTCAATGATCTTCAACATTTTGATGATACTGACTTTCAGTGAGGTAAGCATGGATGTTATTCAGAGAGTAATCTTAAGCATTTACACTCTATAAAATCAAAATGCAGTTTCTTCTCTTCCATGTGTTCGAATATTTCTTGGCTTCCTTTTGCTGCAAACTTTTATTAAACTCAGTCTATGCTACCCATTTTTTTTGCCTCTTTGAAATTTAACCTAATTACACCATGCTTCTTTCTTATGAAATATACATATATCTTATACCAAATAAATGGTAAACTTTTGGTTAAGGTGTCTCAAAATTTCTAGCTCACTTTTTCTTCAAATTCTTAAAAATCCACAGCCACAAGTCAGCTCTCTTTCACAGGGACTCTACGGGACATAAGGGAATTGCCATTCAAGTTTTAAATCTTTATGGAAGGGGACTCCACATCTTTTTCCTAGACTGAGAGGTAAGTGCATTTGGACTACCAACTTTACAGTTAGTAGCTGAGTGCTAAAATCAATGTGCCATCATAATCTCTAATTACTGAAACTCATGTTCTTCTTGTTGTGGACTCTAGAGTCGGAACCGCCAATAGCTGACCCTCAGACGGATTTTCAGAGGCAGTTAATTGCATGGGAGGAGGCTGCCCATCCTTCCCCTGCAGAGCAGCTGGTGATCCTGAACTGTGTGCCTTTGGAATTGCAGCGCAGCTTCTTGCCACTAAGCCACCTAAATTGCCTCACATAAAAGGATACTCATCCTATGTGAAAAGACAAATAGGTCTTATGGAATATTATCATATAACAATTTTAAGACTTGACTTCTGCATATGAATCAGTTTGGCAGGAGACAGATAATATACTTATTTTTTTACTTTGTGTTTCTAAGTCAGATTTTTAAAATCCTGTATTAATAAACTGTAGCCTATTTCCACCAAGTAAAATAATGAATTCATTTATGAATATTAAAGAAAAAAATTTAATTTATAGTTCTTTTGTGAAAGTAGTTTAGAATACATGTAATATCCTTAGACTTAAAAAATTCTCTGTATGTGAAATACAAATTTGTCAAAGAGAAAATATTTGAATCCTTCAGAAATTGTCACATTAATAGCTGAAAAATCGCCAGGAAGATGTTCTGCAGCCAGAAGAACACTCTTTAGCACCAACGCCTGCTCAGTTACTAAGTGGGTGGCTTGTACAGTCTTTGTGATAGTACAGCATTCAGTGGGGCTGCTTCATGGAGGGAAGAGATACTGAGTAGTTAAGAAATGCTAGTAAAGAGAGGCAGAAAGAGCAACTTGGTTTATAATATTCACAGTACAGGTAAGGTTCTCAGCCAAAGTAATGGAGGGGGAAAAAAGTGGTTCAGAATTGCAGAATTACCAGCGGTGCCAAGTATACGAACATAACTATGTACAAATAGGAATAGGAAATATTTATTTTAAAACATATTTACAAAATTAAAACTTATGTATTAGCACTTTTGTTCCACGCTCATTTCATTTTCTTAAAGGTATTAAACATTCATTTAAGAGAAATCAAAGTGACAGACTTTGAAGAAAACACATGCTAACTTCAGACACCTCTATTTTCTTGAACTAAACAATGTTTTTAAGAGATGAAGATACTGGTACTTTTTTTCTTACATATTTACATATCTCACCAACATTAGCGTTTGGCACAGAGCATAACATAAAAATGCACAATGACATTAAAAAAGCAAACAAGAATCCTGAAAAAGAAGCTATAGTCTGAATAAAATATATCATCCCCAGAGGCTTTTCTATTATTGTATAGGAGACCAAACAATTTTTCCTATCTCTACCGTACTCCAGCAGGTATACAGTAATAAAAACCTCTTAATTGCTAAGTAATCAATTTAAAGCATTGCTTGCAATCCTTTCCTTGTTATCTAAGACTTTTTTCTTAAATGTCAGTTTCTCAAGGTGACTTGCTTTATAAGTTCCATAGTGTCAATAATAAATTTATTATTCACACAATTTATTATATAATACATAATTAGTATAAAACATATTTCTCTAAGGAAACATAACATTTACACTCAGTGTAGTTTAGTTCTGTTACATTTAAAAAAAAAAGTCCCCCTCCCCTGAATTCATTTCTCTAGTAGATCAGTCCTTAAGGATTTCTGGAGTCTAGCTATGTTGGCATCCAATGCTGCAAGGCCATTTCTGAACTCTTGTTCCTCACGAGAAGTAAATGTTGAAAAAGAAGAGGTACTCCAGTCAGACATCAAGTCAGAATTTAAGAAACTACCATCAGAGAGATTGCTGCCTTTCGTTTGAAGGTTGTTGCTCTGACAAGCCGAGGCGCCCTGACACACCAGCTGGTCCTCTGACTCCTGAGTGGGGGTAGGGATCTTATCGATTGCTTCCTTAATTTTCTTGATGAGCTGTTTGTCTTCCACCTCAGCTCTTCTGGAAAGTTTTTCAGGCTCATTTTCTACTTCCTTCTTTGAAGAAGAAACAACTACGGGTGCACACAGTTTATTTTCCTTTTCAGAAACAAGCTCAGTGTTGCTGATTAGGGATGCAGCTACACTTACCTGTGGCTCAGGGGACAATCCCTTAGACCGTGGTTCTATCTTTTTAGGAGTACTGCTAACAAAAGGAATGTAAATTGTTTCATCCAAATTACACCCGTCTTCTATTAAAGTCTTAGTTTCACTCTCCTCATCAGAATCCTGTCTTAAAGTGGCAGAGAGGATTCCAGGGGCTGAAACTTCCTTCATGCTCTCTGGGTTACCGGGCGGAGGGGCTCTGGAGGGAAGAACTTTTTCACAGAGTCTATCTGGCACCACACTTTCATCATTTTTAACTGGGGAAAGGGGCTCTGAGAGTGGGGAAATGAGATTTGTTTCTAACTTACTCAGGTAGCTCATTATGGAAGTGTGAGTAGAGATCGGGTCATGTTTCAGTTGCTTTTCATAAACATTCAGAAGTGATTTGGTAAGGTTATTTGCAGGCTTGCAGTGAGCGCTGTCCGCACTAAGGTCTGCGAGAAGCTTTACCATGCTGTTCTGTAAAGTTCTGTTGAGAAGAATTTAGTATACTAATTATTTTTTTTAACCTGTTTAGTAGATAAAATTTATTAAAAAAACAAACTAACCAACGACAACAAAATGCTTGGTACTTAATTTAGAAGCAAGAGGTTAAAAGCACAAAGTAAAAGATAGTCTTACAAGAGTCTAGTAAAATAAAAAGGCTAAAAAATTCTTGGTCAGCATCAAATCCATCTAGAAATGTTGTTGTTGTTATTGTTATGTGCCATCGAGTTGCTCACGACTCATAATGACCCTATGTACAACAGCCCTAAACTCTGCTCTGTTCGGTGCCAATCGCACTGTCTCTGACACTCCCATCCCGATTACCCTAGTCACTGAATCAATCCACCTCACAGAGGGCCTTCCCCTCCTGTGCTGTCCCTCCACCCTATCAAGCATGATGTCCCTTTCCAAGGACCGGTCCCTCCTTACAACATGTCCAAAGTATGTTAGACGGAGCCTCAGAATCCTGGCCTCAAGAGAGCCGCCTGGTTTCACCCTTTCCAGGATGAATCTGTTTGTTTTCCTAGCAGTCCTCAATACTCTTCTCCAGCACCACAGCTCAAAGGCCTCAATTCTCCTTCTATCCTCCTTAGTCATTGTCCAATTCTCTGATGCATAACAAGTGACAGCAAAGACAATGGCCTGAAAAACCTATCTATACACCAGTTCTACAGGACACATCACCTTCGCCTGGGAAACATTACCACTAAACTTAAGAGACACTGGTCACAGCATAAGAAACTATCAGCAGCTGACGTGTTTGGAATCACAGAACTCAAGGAAGCTTCAGATACAAGCTATCAGATCAAGGGCTCAACAGTGGGAGACAGATGTTGAAGGGAGTGGGTAGAAGTGGATGGGTATCCTGGTGGATGTTGGAGCAGGGAAATAAGTGGGTAAAGACACGTGTGCCAAGGGCAGGGACAACACTGACACTAATGGTTAACTCCATAATAAGGGATATATCTTTCACTTTTCTGTAAAATGCTGATCTGATACTTCTCTAAATCTGAACATTCAGATTAAGACAGATGAAGGACTGGCCATCCACTTCTGAAATAGCAGGCCTCCGAGAACCCTATGTACAACAGAACACATGTAAAATCTAGAAATGAGAATCAGAATGTTGTAAGACATGAGAATGTTTTATTCTAGAGAAATATTACAAAATGAACCTTAAAATAAAAAAAGGAGCCTAATTCTAGGAAGCTCAGGTATATAAAGGCTGACACGGGCTGCAGCAGCAGCACAGTGGGAACTGTGAGAAGGGTGCACATGTTGCACACAGACTTACTGTGAGTCAGGGCTGATGTGACAGCAACTAACAACAAGGTATAAAAGAGAAAAATTGAAAATGTAATTCACTTGTTAATTAATTCCTCTAGAAAGTATTTCTGCTGTTGTTGTTATGTGCCATCGAGTTGCTTGCGACTCATAGCGACCCTGTGTACAAGAGCCCTAAACGCCGTTCTATCCTGTGTCAACCTCGCCATCTCAAAGGCACTTATTCCCACCACTCCACTCACAGAATCGATCCATCTCATTGAAGGTCTTCCTCTCCTTTGCCAGTCTCTCCTTGCAACATGCCCAAAGTATGTCAGACAAAGCTTCAGAATCCTTGACTCCAAGGAGCATTCTGGCTTCATCCTCTCCAGGTCAAACCTGTTTGTTCTCCTAGCAGTCCGTGGTATATTCAACACTCTTCTCCAGCACCACAGTTCAAAGGCATCAATTCTCTTTCTATTATCCTTATTCACTGTCCAGTTCTCTGATGCATAGCACATAACTGCGAAGACTATAGCCCAGATCAGGCACACCTTAGTCTCCAGCCTGACGTCATTGCTCTTCAGTACTCTTGAGAGGTCCCTCACAGCTGACTTTTCCAATGCAATTCGTCTCTTGATTTCCTGGCTGCTGTTACCAAGAGTGGTGATTGTGGAGCCAAGTAAACTAAAACTGTTAACTATCTCAATCTCTTCACCATCCATACTGATGCTGCCAATTGGCCCAGTGGTGAGAATCTTTGTTTTCTTGATGTTGAGCTTCAGTCCATATAGGAGGCTGCAGTCCTTGATCTTCTGCAACAAGCGCTTCATATCCTCCTCAGTTTCAGCAAGCAGGGTTGTGTCATCTGAATAATGCAGGTTATTGATGACTCTTCCACCAATCCTGATGCCGCATTCCTCTTCGTACAGCCCAGCGTATTGGATGATCTGTTCTGCGTACAGATTGAAAAGGTATGGAGACAGAATATATCCCTGATGAACCCCCTTCTTGATTTTGAACCATGTAGTGTTTCCTTGCTCTGTTCTGATGACTGCCTCTTGGTCCAAATATAGGTTTCACATTAGCACAATCAAATGTTCTGGGATTCCCATTCTTCTCAGAGTCAGCCATAGCTTGTTGTGATCCACACAGTCAAAAGCCTTTGCTTAGTCAATGAAGCCCAGATAGACATTCTTCTGGTATTCTTTGCTTTCTGCCAAGATCCATCTAACATTAGCTATAATATCCCTAGTACCACTTATTTAAAATATATATGAAGAGGACATTTCTAGTCAATGTTCACAGGGGAAGGAGGACAGAAAGTGGGTGATTAGAGATAACCGGGAATAAGCAACAGCTTAGAAACCAGGAAAAATAAAAAGGAAGACACACAGGGCTCAAATTTAAGACAGATATGGAATCACATCCGAGTGCTATCACTGTGCTCCTGTGCAAGTTGCCAGCCTATCTGAATCTCACTTTCACAATTCACTTACTTCTAATGTAAAATAAAGATTAAAGAAAATAGTAGATATATGGGTAAAGTGTTAGCACATATTTCAGGCTAAATAGATAGTCATTTAATGGGAGTTTTTATTAGTTAACATATTGCCATGAAGTCAGTGTGGATTCACCATGCTCTTGTTAAGAGTAGTAGTTCTACTGAGGTCACTTTACAAAAAGCGTTTAGTCTATTTGAATCGAATCATCTATGTTCTACAAATCAGTAAGAAGATGAGAAACTTAATCTTAAAAAGACACAAAAGACACCAAGAGTAATTCACAAAAAAAGAATTAGGACTAGCCAATGTGCATGTTTTAAAATGCTTCAATCAAAGTATCACAGATTTAAGAAGTTATGGATTTTTTAGTATCAAATTCACATAGTGAAATAAAAATAATATCCACTGTTAGAGAAGTTTGGAGAGACATGAACAACTACTGAGACTCAACAATGACATACCTTGCCTTGCGAGCTACCTGGCAACACATTGCAGAAACCGTAAAGATTTCAATACTCACATTTTCATTTTTTAGGAGTTTATCTTACCAGTTTCACAGAAGCATGTTGTAGCCATAATTATATTTACATATATGTTATTTGTAATTGTAAATAGATCCAATATCTGCCCTCAGTTAACATGAAACTAATTCAGGTAAATTATGGCCTTATTGCATCATGACCGCTAGAAATCATATTATAAAAATATTGATAGCAAAATTACTATAAAAGATTAAATTAATGAGAACAAGCCATAAATAATATGGATGCTATATTATTTTTGCATAACTAAGCAGTCATAAATTTACACATTAAATATTAAAAAGTTTAGTATTAAAATTTAGCTAAAGCCAGAAATCAATTCTTTCTGGATGTAAGAATAAGTGATTTTTCCCCCCCACACAAAAGCAAAAGAGAATATATTATTTCCAAGCTAGCTGATATATTAAACATGCTACATCTTGATTTATTACTCTTCAAATGACAATGGCTTCCACCACTTCTCAAACTTGTATCAAAAGTTAATGAACTAGTAACAGAAAGATACAAAGATGCTAAAGGAACATATTAAAAGAATGCTGTGACAAATGAGGACCCACTAATTGAACTCTGGTAATGTTGCTAGGAGAGGCTCTACTTTGGAGAGGGACACGATACCCTGAAAGGCAGAGGGTTGACAAAGGAGAGGAAGGCTCTCGACCAGGGGGATTGACATGGTGACTGCCACAATGGGCTCTAGTGTGTCAGGAGGCATGAGGATGGCACAGGATAGGGCAGGGTTCAGATCTGTTTTTCATAGGGTCACTATGGGTCCTATTTGACTCAATGGCACCTAACTTAATTTGCAGTGGGAACTTTAGTGGCTGAGTTTTGCTGCTGATCCAAAGGCCATGCCTCTCTACAAGTTCGAATCCACCGGCAGCTCCTCAGAAGAAAGATGGGCAGTCTCCTTCTATGTGATTCAGTCTCTGAAAACCCCCTGGATGGTCACCTATTGACTTCAGTCAGTTCTGACTTGATGGCAGTGAGAGAGAGGGAAGTTTGGAGTCAATGAGTGGCCATTGGTTACTGTGCTAAGCTGCTAACCAAAAGCTTGGGGATCTGATCCCACTCAGAACTTTGGAAAAAAAGGCTGGCATTCTCCAGGAAAATCAGCCATCCTAAACTCCATGGGGCACAATCCCACCCTGACACACATGGTGTCACCAGTAGTCAGAGCCAATCTAACAGCAACTTACTTTTTAAGTAATTTGATGAGCAATTTTCTTTTTCATTCATTTGACTGGAATTTTAATTTTTTTAAGAGGAATATATTGAAAATTTTTTCCTAAAGAGAAGCATTATCTTTACTGAAGATATTAAAATAAAGAAAGGAAAATGGCATAAATAAAAGCTTAACAAAAGCAGGTTGTGTTGGATCTTCACCAAAAGCAGAGTATTAGAACAATGTCTATTTGTGTTTCATTGACTATGCAAAGGCATTTGACTGTGCAGATCACAACAAATTGTGGCTAACCTTGAGAAGAATGGGAATCCCAGAACATTTGGTTGTACTCATGCAAAACCTATACTTGGACCAGGAGCATTTGTCAACAAAGAGCAATGAAACACCCCATCGTTCAAAATTAGGGAGGGAATGTGTTAAGGATGTATCCTGTCTCCATACCCTTTCAATCTATATGCAGAATAGATCATTCAGGAAGCTGGGCTTTATGAGGAGGAATATGGCATCAGGACTGGAGGAAGACACATCAACAACCTGCACTGTGCAGATGATACAACCTGTTCTGCAGAAGGTCAATATGGACTGCATCACAATATCAAGAAAATTATTCTCATCATCTGGTCAATTGGTAGCATCATGAAAGATGAAGACTGAGGTTGTTAACAATATCATCTTGCTCAGATTGGCAATTAATACCCTTGGAACAGCAGTCAGGAAATCAAAAGCCAAGTTATTTTAGGAAAGTCTGCTGTCAGGGATCTCTCCAAAGTGCTAAAGAAAAATTATGTCAGTCTAGAGACTAAGGTGTGTCTGATCCAGGCCATGGTCTCCTAAATTGCATCTCAGGATGCAATACTGAACGTACTATGGACTGCCAAAAGAACAAACAAGTCTGCCCTGAAGAGGCTGGAACCAAGTTTCTCCTTGGAGGCAAGAATATGTAAGCTCCACCTGACATATTTTGGGCATGATGCCAGGAAGAACTAGTCCTTGGAGAAGGACATCATGCTTGGAAGGGTAGAGAGTCAGTGCAGGAGAGGAGAGGAAGACGCCGGATGTGATGGATTGATACAGTGACTGTGGCAATGGGACCAAGTGTGTCAGAGACAGTGAGGTTGGCTCACAACAGAGCCATTGTTCACTGGGTCCATTGTTCACAGGGCCACTATGAATTGTAATTGACTTGATGGCACTTAAAAACAACATCATCTGTGGAAAGAGTTGCTAGAGTAGCTCAGTATCAGCATTCAAGAGAGAAGAACAGAAGATTTCAAAGGGCAGCCCAAAAAGACAAAGTATTTATAATGAAAAGTGCAAAGAGCTGGAATTAAAAAACCAAAAGGGAAGAACATGTCAGTACTTCTCAAGCTGAATGAAGTGAAGAACAAACTCAAGCCTTGCATTGCAATATGGAAGGATTCTAAGGCAAAATACTGAATGATGTAGGAAGCATCGAAAGAAAACTAAAAGAATACACAGAGTCACTATACCAAAAAGAACTGGTCAAAACTGAACTATTTCTGGAAGTAACAGTTGATCAAGAGAAAATAGTACTGAAGGAAGAAGTCCAAGTTGCAATGAAAGTACTGGCAAATTAAAAGGCCTCATGAATTGATGGAATACCAAGTGACATATTTCAACAAACAGATCCTTTCCTGGATGGGCTCACTAGGTTGTGCCAAGAAATCTGGAGGAAAACTACCTGGCAAATTGACAGAAGAGATCCATATTTGTTCCTATTTTTTTAAAAACAAAACACAATCCCATGAAGGAGTTTTTCTTTTGCTTTTCAAGGAGAGGAGCGAACTGGGGGAAGAGGTGGGGTGGGTGGGGAGAAAAGTGCAACAATGAATGAATGGAAGTCCAAAATCTTTGTAGTGTTCATTGAAATTAATAATAATAGTTAAAAAAAACTAAAACAAAACAACACAAACCAGGAGAATGTAGAAGTTATCAAATAATATCATTAATGTCACCTGAAAGTAAAAAGCTTGCTGAAGATTATTAAAATCAGCTGGAACAATACATTACAGGGAACTGCCAGAAATCTAGACTGGATTCAGAAGAAGACCTGGCATGAGTAATATCATTGCTGACATCAGATGGATCTTAGCAGAAGGATGTTTACTTGTGTTTTATTGACTATGTAAAGGTATTTGACTACATGGATCATACTATGGCTAAAATTGAGAAGAATGGGAATCCCAGAACACTTGATTTCTCATGTGAAACCAAGAAGCCACTGTCAGAACAAGGGAATACGGCATTGCATAAATCAGAAAAAATGAGTGGCAGGGTTGAATCTTTTCTCCATACCTATTCATTCTGTATGCTAAGCAAATAATGTGTGAAACTACACTATATGAAGAAGACTGTGGCATTGCAACCTGTGTTATGTAGACGACACAACCTTGCTTGCAGAAAAGAAGACGATTTGAAGCAGTTACTGCAAGATCAAAGATTCAACCTTCAAAATGTATTTCATCTCAACATTAAGAAAACAAAAAATCCTCACAATAGGACCAATAAGCAACATCATGAAAGATGGACAAAGACTGACACTGTCAATGACTTCATTTTACTTGGCTCGACAATCAGCTGTTATTTGCTTAGATCCACAATCAACATCTATGGTAGCAGCACCCCAAAAAATCAAAGACATGTTGCACTGTGAAAAATCTATCAAGGACCTCTCCCAAGTGCTAATAATGTTAGTTTAAAGACTAAAATGGACCTGAACCAAATTACAGTATTTTCAATTGCATCTACAAGCTAGACAATTAAAAGGAATGACAGAAGAAATAATGCCGTTGAACTGTGGTGATGGAGAAGAGGATTCAATATTCCATGGACTGCCAAAAGAACAAACAAGTCTGTCTTTGAAGAAATGCAAACAGGGTCCTTAGAGAAAAGTATGGTGAAATTTTGTCTCATATACTTTGGGAATGTTGTCAGGAAAGACCATTTCCTGGAAAAAGACCTCATGCTGGGAAAGGTGGGAGGTCTGAGAAAGAGAGGAAGAAAGACCCTGAATAAGATGGACGGGCACGGTGACTGTAACAACGGGCTAGCTCATCTCAGAGATGGTGAGGATGGCACAGGACTGGGCAAGGATCAGATCTTTCCACATTGTTCAGGAAAAGTCTGATAAATTAAGCCATGACATGGAAGTGGAGAAAGAACAGTAGTATTTCTATATTAACATATCTTACATAAAATAATTTTAAATTATTATAAAACTAAGTAAATTAAAATATTACTATTTCATCAAAATAAATTTACTTTCCTTTAAAACCAATTATACATAAAAGTTTTTAAGACTAAAAGGAACTAAAAGTTTCTAATTCAAAATGAAGGGACAAAGCATTATCTTGAAGGGAGGTATTCTTTTGGAATAACGAAGGATTTGTATTCAAGGTCTTACATGTGGAATCACAGGATCTCAGGATCATTGAAAGGCACAGCCAGATCTCATGATCTACAGTAACTACAGACATGGCCTTTAGAATTTCTAAGAAGTGATGTAAAGTTAGAAAGTCTTGAGAAAAAAACGAAACTTTGTAAGAATGTTTCATATCAGAAATTGGATGAAGGGAATTTATTCCCTGGGCTGGGGAGTCTCCTCATAGAGACCCTCCAGTGGGTTTCTGAGGCTGTGAATCTTTATGGAGAGACTGTCCATCTTTTTCCCAAGGAGACCTTCATTCACCAGTGGGTGGATTCGAACCGTCAACCTTTCTGTTAATAACTCAGCACATTACACACTATGTCACCAGTACTCCTTAGCTAAGATTCAGAATGCTTAAACAACTTATAGTCACACAGCTAACAAAGGGCGGAGCTAGTGCTACGTGTCAGGTCTAACTTCAGAGTCAGGAGCTCTTAGCCGTAATGCTTTACACTTCTTTGCTAGGAATCACCAAGTTGAAAAACACATTTAGTTAGTTTGAACTTAATGGGTACAGAAGAAAACACTATCAGCAAAAGATAATTAACAAAAGATTTGCTAAAATAAGATATAAGGGGGAGAGAAAGCAGGTCTGAAATAATTTTAAAGTTTGTTAAGTACACGATAACCATTTGACAGGGAAGAGCAGAACTGCCCATCAGCTTTTGAGAAAGTAAATCTTTACAATGCAGACATCACACCTTTCTACCTAAGAGCAAATTTGAACTGCTGACTTTAGTTATCAGCTGAGGACTTAAACTACTGCATTATCAGGAATTCTACATCTACTGAAAGGCCTGGGTTATTCCCAAATGCCACCGTTACCTGGTTAATTCTCTGAGTCGAGCCACCTCAGCATCACGCTGCCGTAATGTTATTCCCAATATCTGATTTTCCTTTTCAGCAGTTTCTAATTTAAACTGAGAGCTTTTTGCATTGACTAAGGCTTCTTCTAATTCTAAAACATTAAAAAAAAAAGACAAGGAGTCAGCATTCTTATGACATTTAAAAAATGTGATCATAATTATAGTCTAAATAAATACCAATTTTCATCCGTGTTGCCTCAATGTCAAACTGCTGTTTATTTTCAAGTATAGTTTGATCTTTGTCTTTGAATAAACCAGCAAGTTTTTTGTTTTCATCTTTCTGGTTTTCAATCACTTTTAAGAGCTCTTCATTTTTGCTCTGTAGTAACTCCTGACTCTTCAGTGACTCCTGCAATTGATTCTGCAGTGACGTGTTCAATGACTGAAGAGAAAACACTGTTAAGGCCAAAACAAAACAAAAACAGATGAAATCACGGTTTCCCAGTTAAAAAGTGCAAATCTAGAAAGATCTGGAGGGGGTTTCCTGTGTGTGTTTTTAAAGGTCTGGAATTTATTTTATTTTAAAACGAGCAATTTTACATAAACACCAAGTAAACTGGCAAAAAGTCATGTCTTTTTCTGCAACTGGTAATTTGAGCATTCATTTTTTAAAAGAGAATAATACATATACAAAGTATAAATAATTAAAGTATAACCAAATATCAGTGATACCAAATAATTCTCAGTAATGAGGTTTTTTCCCTAGTCCATTGTGACACTCCCAGAGACAATCATTAATCACTACTAACCTTTATGTTTGTCTGGAAAACACTTTTGCATGTATATAATATATACATTTACACATAAGTGAATTACAGTATATGCTTTGTCTAACCTAGACCTTGCCCCCAGACTGCCAGCAGGGACCTTTGTAATGGTTAAAAGGTACATGGCATCATTCAGCTCACGAATCTGTATGTGAATGAATTGTGAAGCACTGTATATTAGAAGCTGGGTACACAGCAGTGTAAAAAACAGACCTAACTCTATGTCCTTGTGGAGCTTATAACAAGTGCTCTGAAGGGAACAATAAGACAGAGGAAGGAGCAAAGGTTACACAGAGAGCTGCTTCTTAAGAGTGGCAACCGAAAGCCTCATGGAGGGGATAAGTTTTGAGACCTGAAGAGTGTGAAGAAAGTGAGAGAGGTTTAAGAATGCAAAAGAAGAGCCTACAAAAAAAGTCTTGAGATACTAAGAGATTAGTTTCTTCAAGAACTAAAGAGACAACAGTATGGTTAGAGTGTGGCAAAGACAGAGAAAAAGGAGCTCAGCGACACTAGAAAGGCAGTGAAGTGATGTGCCAGGTGGTGTAAGGGCTCCTTGATGTCAAGTAATTTTTATCTCATTTAAAGTAAAAAGTATTGAAAGTAAAAGGCAGAATAATTTCATAAAAAATCATTCTACTTCCAAGGGAGCTCTGGTGGCCTAGTGGCAAGAAGCCACGCTGCAATCCCAGAGGTATGCGGTTTAAATCCACCAGGTGGCTCTGCTGGAAAAGGAGGGGCAATCTCCTTCAGTACCAGTCAGATCCAATTTGACAGCACACACACACAAAAATGAAAAACAATTAAAAAAAATCATTCTAGTTCTACTAAATAAAGAAATGAGGAAACAGGAAGACAGAGAACCAAGATAGGAAACAGGGAGCTAAAGGATTTGATTAACCAATGGCATTGGTGTACCCCAAACTACTGATGAAGGTAAACAATTTTATGAAGTGTTCTGGGTGCTCATGTTTTTATTATTACTTGGTAGGGGATTCAGTTACATTTAAAAAAATTAAACCTTAATTGTATGTTACAGAACGTCCCCTATATTGATGTTTTCAAATGTATTTTATAATTTTGTTGTGCAGAAATGAAAAAAAAAATTCTGAGGGCATACTTCCAACTTTTGTGGTATGTTTTTTCTCAAACTTAAGAAAGCCTATGTTAAAAAGCAAAGATTTCATATTGATCTATGGTATCTGTTTTATGTCAGGCTTAAAAAGGTTTGTTCAAAAGCAAAGATGTCACTTTGAAGACTAAAGTGAGCCTGCTCCAAGCCATGGTATTTTCAGTCTCCTTAATATGTATATGAAATAAGGATATGTATATCATATGAATAAGGAAGATTGAAGAACTGTTACCTTTTCTTTACAGTGTCAAAGAACACTGAATATACATACCATGGACTATAAAAAGAACAAAATAATCCGTCTTGAAAAGCCTGGATGTTGAGTCTTCACCTAACATACTTTGGACATGCCAACATCAGGCTTGGTAAAATCGAGGGTTGGCAAAAAAGAGGAAGTTCTCTTTTCCTCAAGGAGACAGATGGACACAGCACTTACAATAATGGGCTCAAATATAGCAGTAGCTTTGTGGATGGTCCAGGACTCTGCAGTTTCATCCTGCTATATATGTGCTGCTGAGTCAGAAAGGCCTTGATGGCATGGAACATGAAGAAAGGCTTCCAAGAATTAAAAAAAACAAAAACCAACCAGCAAAACTTCACCTACTAGAACTATTCTTTTTCTTTTTTCTTAACCACAGTGATGCATAGGGACAATCTGGCAGTATCTGCCAACACTACAGCTATAACAGCAGTTCCACTGCTATAAATACACCCTAAAAAATAACCACTTGTGTGCAAAAACCACATGTATCAGAGTTTTTACTGCAACATTGCTTCAATTTGGATAAAAGAAGAACCCAAGTACCTACATATCTATCTGCACCAGTCTTTAAATAAATTATGGTGGAGCAACATAATGGAATACCTAAACAATTCACTTTAACTTTTTATTGTAATTTGAGTGAAAGTTTATAGAGGTTTTTTCATTCAAAAATTCATACACATTTTGTTTCATGACATTGATAGCAATTGCCACAGAGTATATGTTCAAGCTCTTAAAGCAGCATTTTTTGATGATATAAAAAATGTCACTACATGTAAAGTGAATAACTGCAAGCTGCAGAACAATATATACAGTGAAACGTGTGTGGTTCTGTTAGTGTCTGGCACGTAGTATGTACTTGTGAAATAAATTATTTATAGAAGAAACAGATTTTTGGTTTATTCAATTATCTTAGATAAGGATATATTATTGAGATACGACAGTACAGAACTTGAATTTTTATGTGAATAAAATCTTAATGAATATTATTTTTAGTTTTTTAAAAAGTTGATAAATCCACAAAGTAACTAAGAAAGCTTAATTCTCTGTCAACATCTTGAGAGCCACAAAACTTTTAACATGAATCCTAAGTTCTGTTACCTACATTTAAGGAGGTTGTATTCCAGAGAACCAGCTGTCTTTTGAGTTTTCTCTTGTTCTCGAAGTTGCTGGTTCAAAATCCTCACTTGCCTAAAGGAAATGATGAAGAAACATGAATGTAGGAAACCTGAATCCAAAATAACTAAAGAGAGACTATGTCACAGGTGGGAAGAAAAATATGTTTAGGAGGAGAGATACTTGCTAAACATTCAAAATAAACAACTATAAGATAAAAAGGTAGGTCAAGTATAAACATCAGTTGACAAGTCACACACACATACATTTTGGCTGGAAAATTGGCAGTATCCCATAGTTTCAAGGAAATTAAAAATAGTAGGTTTTCTCTTAGAGCAAGATTGCTTAAGGATAATAAAAACAGCAGAAGCGAAGTAAGGATTAGGTAAGCTCAGAAAAATAAAAGAGAAAAATAAAGCCTGCAAAAAAAGAAAGCTCTTTTAGAAACATAAAAAGAAAATGAAGGAACAGTATACCACATTAGGATTAAACCAATACAAACCTGAAATTCAGTGCCACAGCCTCATACCAGATGGTCCACATTCACTCACAAAAAATTAATTCTCATGCACATCCCAAAACTTCTCCAATAGGGTAAAAAGGGAAGCCACAGTCTGGGGAAATATATTTGGCAATGACATGTCTGGTAAGGGACTTCTATCTAGAATTTATAGAATACACGAGCTCCACAACAAGATAACCAACCAATTGCAAAAAGCACACAGGATATGAACAGACACTTCACGTTCAAGTGGCAAACAAACACATGAAGAAGTATTCAAAATCCGTAGCTCTAAGAGAGATGCAAATCAAAATAACTATGAGATATCATCTCACCCCAGTAAAAATTGCAAAATTCAACAGAGCAACAAACAACAAATGCTGATGAGGTTGTGGAGAAACTGGAAACCTTATTTACTGTTCGTGGGAGTGTAAAATGCCACTCTGGAAGGCAGTACAGTGCTTTCTCAAAAAGTTGGAAATAAAAATACCATTTGACCCAGCAGTTCCACTACTGGGAATATACCCTAAAGAAACCAGAACCGCCACCCGAGTAGATATATGCACATTCATGTTTATTGCTGTTTTGTTCATGATAGCAGAGTTGGACAACCTAAGTGCACATCAAC